ATATCCTAAGAATTTTAAAATTTCAGATCTTAAATCTATACAATCAACTTTCTGAATTTACATAAAACAAATCAGAATACTTAGATCATACAACTTATAGAAAGAAGTTTTGAATAAAACAAATAAATACACGTATAAAATGGCAATGTGCAATGTAATTTATTTTTTTTTTGTAAAATATCTCGATAACTTTTTTTCACGTCCTAAATTACAATAAGCCTTTGTATAACATTTGTTCATCATAACTGTAAAATTTCAAAGTAAATACTAAAGCTTATTATATTTATATATATATAACAGCTTATATATATAACGCGCACCTATACTTTCAAGCTGATTTTTTAAAATTTTTAGGTATATTCGCCGTATAACGCGCTAACCCTTTTTAACGAAGAAATCTGAAATATTAATATACATTGCTCTTATATTTTGAAATAATTCATTCGAGGTATTATTCCAGACTTTTGAAAAAATAGTACACTTCTAGAACTACAACTCTTTTAGTTCATAATGTAAGTCGCGTTTCTTTAAAACAAACGGTATTTCGATGCATATAGAAGTAATTTTTTTTTATACTCATCTCTTTTGTTATCTTTAAAGCTATTGTTTTTATACCCGGCGTATAACGAGTACCTTTTAAGTTTCAATCTTATTTTTTGTGTTCAAAGTGCGCGTTATACGCCGGATTTTACGGTATATATTTATTTTTAAACCCCTCTAATTTTCCTTACATTAATTTTTATTAATAAATCTTTACATTGCATATACTACATCAAAATAAAATTGACAAATGATTTTTTTTTCGAATTTCACACTAATTACAAAATTCCTACAATCTGTTCCTCTAAAATATACAATGCATTATCTTCTGTTTTAATGGCAATATTTGATTTTTTTACACTGAACATACCAGCACTTAATGCATACCTATTTCTACCAGTTATTGCATGTATAGTGTTAAATATATACTTCAGTTCATCCAAACTTAAACTTATTTGGTTAATGTATTGAGACATGCTATTTCGTTATCACTGATTATGCATCTAAAGTATCCTTTTACGCATGATTATATGTATATTAAAAAAAATTGAAGATGAAACAATATTAGGAATAAAGATTCCAAATTCTTGCTCTGAAGTTTGATGTTTGAAAATATATAAACTTCAAATATAAAATAAATTACTTCAAAGTTTGTCTAAGAAACGCTAAATCAGTACTCATAACATTCCAAAATTTGGAACATACGTATTAACTGCCAACTAGTTTCGCCAAGCAAAAAGACATCATGAATTTAAAAAAAAAAAAATTTATCTCTATAATTACAGTATTCAAACATGATCAGGAACCGTTTCCACTATTGGCTGCATATCGCAGCATTTGGCGGTTTTATGATTTGAAGAAATTAGTCGTTATTATAATATACAAGTGCTCCAAATTTGCCCTTTCAATATACATCATACAAAAATATCAGTGATTTTGGACGATTAACCCCTTAACAATAATTTTGAAAAAAAAATTTCTGAAATTATCTTTTTTTTTACTGTATTTTGCATGAATATAGATTATTGCAAACAGCAATTTGTCAAGTTATTCATTTAAGAGTAAATAGAGAATTGAAAGAGGTTATATTAAAATTTCAAATATTTTTATTGCTTTTAGAAAGTAAACATCCTACAGAATCAAATGTCTACATGTAAAATCATATTTGGTTTCATGATCCTAATTACCGATGAATATCATAGAACTGATCTAAGTACACGTCTTGGGTCAATATTTGTAACTAACTCAATATAACAAATTTATTCAGGACTTAAATTTATAAGCAGGACAATATCAATACAGATGAGCCTTTTAGACTTTAATACTTATGTAAAAATTAAAATCCAGAGTATTCTTAAGCTTAACACATTTTAGCTGGGGTTGCATAGATTTCTTCAACACACAATGTTAATATTTCAACAACATGTGTATAGTCTATATGTTAAAATTATCATCAAAATTAATGAATTTTAAATTTTGATAACCCTTATGCAAATACTAATAAATGTTATCCATAGTAAAAAAAATTGTACATCTGTGTGACAAATTTATACCAGTCAAATTCTAAAAAACAGATGCTGTGTTAAGAAATCCTCATACTACATAATAAATAGATACCACACACAAATATTTTAATATTTTTATTTTTATGTAAAAGAATTATGGATTAAAGAATGACTTTATTTTGACCATGTAGGAGATAACAGAACTTTTATATTTAATATATTCACACAAATTTTTAATGCCTTAATTTTTTACCACATTCAGAATTTATTTCTCGTTAAATAATATATTTTTACTAGAATGGTGCTGCGAACAAAGACTTTAAAAATGTTGCATAATTTTTTACTTATAATTTTAAAAAAGGTAAATTTCATTTCTAATGTTTGATAGTGGATTTGAATCATCATCAAGTATGAACATTAATGGACATGTAGTAAAATAAGATATTTTTCTATTTCTGTAGTGAATGCCTATCGAAACTTTTTTTCCCATAAGAATGTAAAATTATTTAGAAAAATACATTACATATATACTTGTTTTAATATATGACATGTATGGTTACATATCAGATTCTTGTGTTTTTATTTTAGAAAATTTAATACAGAAATATCTCTATTAGCTACTCTGAGTATGTGTAAAATAAGTAAAATTTAAGTTAACTAAATATATTTTATCTTTTTATGTATGTTCTCTATATAATTTAATTTAAAATAAACAAAAATTTACTTTGAATTATTAACATTCATGTAGACATCTATCCAAAATCCTTTCAGCAGAAGTTTCTTTTGTGAACACAAAAATAGTAGAAATGGAGCTGGCGACGATTTCTAAGTGTTTGGTATTGAAAACAAGCCTATTCAAAGTGGTCAGAGCATAATAACTGTGAGGAGATGGTTTAAAATCCTTACGCTGCATCATCTTATCCATGTTTACAAAATATTCGAATTTTTACCTGAATATTAAAAAATATTTTTTTTCCCTATACAATCATCTTATCTTTTACTGTAATCGAATAATCATATATAGTTAAATACGAAATTTTAGTGGGTATAATGTAAAAGTGCGAGCAAAATAGTAATCAAAGAAGTGTTAGGTTAGAGTTAAGCGGGAAACAAAACAAAACATATTCACGTCCTATCCTCATCCCGTGATCGTGACGTCACATGAATTGACTTCATTACGAACACGCTATTTCGAAAGCTCTAGTCTCATTTCATTCAGAATTGAAGGATTAAAACCTATAGTTTGGCAATTAGTGAATATTAACGTCGCACTATTCAGCTACTCGAGGACTTTTGGCGACGGACCTCGTTGTTTTGAACCATGGTCAAGTGACGTGGACGACACCTGAGATGGCACCCCGTCTCTTAACTTCCCCACAATACCAGCAGGAGGACGTCCATGCTTCGACAGATTTAACGTGCATCCCCCCCCCCCCCCAACAGGCGGGTCTTCAAAGGTACTTGGCTTGAACTCATGACGCGCCAGCCACGGGTCTGTTACTTTGACACTCGTCTAACCCGGCCTTCTATGTTTTGACAGATTTATTCGTAATTCCTCGTTGAAACAATTAGACCTTAAATCTTTGAGAGATTTATTGACAATTCCACAAGCAAAAGCTTAATTGCTTACATTTAAGCGGTGAAAAAACTTCCCTCTAAAAATACTGACATAATTTCTCCTAACATTTCCCTTCTCTTGAACACATAATTATATTTTTTCAATTTCTAATTTTAGTTCACTCTCTCCCTATATATATACCGTAAAATCCGGTGTATAACGCTCACCCATACTTTCAAGCTGCATTTTTATTTTTCAGGTATGTTCGCCGTATAACACACACTCCGCTTTTTAAAAAGAAACCTGAAATTTTAGTATGCAACGTGTTTATGTTTGAAGTCATTTATTCGAGATATTATACCAGACTTTTGAAATAATGTTATATTTCTAGAAATAGAACTCTTTTAGTTCATAAGGTATATCATTTCTTTTAAATAAAATCATTTCTTTTGTTATTTTTAAGGCTATCGTTTTTATACCCGGTGTATAACGTGCCCCCTTACATTTCGATCTCATTTTTATGTTCAAAATGCGCGTTATACGCCGGATTTTACGGTATATATATATATATATATATATGTGTGTGTGTG